CTTCGGGAAAGCTGTGTGTAGCAGCATACACCTGCTGCTCCAGCATCAGGGAGGGGGAGACAGTGGGGTTCATTGGCCAGTATGCTAGTCAGATTGATAGGCTCTTAGAACAGTAAGAGGCCTCGAGGCCTCGTCACAAAACACTAAAGTGGAGAGCCATCAAAGATGACATGACATGTCAAACACTAGTCTCTACATACATGCTACACACGTACATGCATGTGCATTGGCATGCACACCCAAGACCACATAAATATGGTATGCCATGCACACAGAGAGAGACAGACAGAAGACAGACAGACAGACAGACAGAGACAGAGACAGAGAGAGAGAGAGAGAGAGAGAGAGAGAGAGAGATTGAGATTATTCACCAGTGCTGCTCAGAACAGGGGCTACCACTCATGCCAGAAGGCCATCACTCGAAACCACAAAGACTCATGGGTATCAGCAGTCCCGGTGCTATCATGAAGAAATATGTGCTGAGAACTGACTGTGTACCTGAGACAAAACAGGGGATGAATTGATGACCACAACTCTGTGCGCTGAACCTCTAGAGACTGGACTGCCAAGCTCAGTGTGCTACAGTTTCTCCATGTCATACACATAACGTCATAATCTAGCAATGCATACGTGCGCACACTCGGCGACAGATGTGGCTAAAAGCTTCATCGAATGGAGTCCTCATGTTGTTTTCTAACTCATTCAGGCATGTTACTGCTCATCGAGACCCCTTAGTTCACTTTCTGACACACTAACGGGTTATACACTCACTGACAGGAATACTTTGGTCCAGCATGGCAATTCAGAGAATGCTTGGCACCCCTGCTGGTTCCATGGAGCATCCATCCTAAACTGAAGCAGCCCCCATCAAGACCGGCGTTCCACTTTGTCCACCTCAGGAACACAACTTCATCAATGCTGACCCCAAACATTTGGAATTGGACATGAAAACTTTAATTCTGACTCCCACTTACCTTCACTGGTCTACAAAGAGATTGATGAGCCCATTAAAAGCAAAGAGAAGACTGTAAGAAAAATATTTACCTAATTTCAGAGACAGACCCATCCAATTTGTCTTCACAGTGCGGTCATCCAAATGTGATAAGTTCTCATTAGGAACCACTTTTATCTCTACGTCAGGGCAGCTCTAACCGGAATTCGATTTGGAAAAGCTAACTTGTTCAAAGCACTGTTCTTATTTTAATGAAGTTTCCTTTCATTTAGCGTAGGCTGCAGCTCAGAAACCCAAAAGACAGCCTGAAGTTATTCCAGGTTAGTAAAACTGTGTAGTTCGAAACACTTTCATCCTTAAGTACTGGTTTCACTAGCACAGACCTCAAGCTTTTTCTGCCTTTCTTTGGCTTCGAGAGCTTCAGCTCTAAATTCTCCCACACAAAATAACTTCATATTAGAGGGAAGAAACCCGAAAAGTTTGTTTGTCTTACTCATGACTCGCCGAGGAGAATCGTGGAGTCACCAACTGAAATTACTGTCGCTCCAATGTTAAATTCTCTGTTCTTTCTGGCTTAAATGAACCTCCGGCCCTTCCGGTAAGCCAAACACTCTGGGGAGCAGTTCCAAAAGCTCTTTATTCCTCAGTCTTATGTGTGTGCATGCACACGCGTGTGCATACACATGTATGTGTCTGCCTGTCCACGTATGCTTCTCTAAAACACCCTTGCAGAAAATAATTGCTGATCTTTTCCCTACTCAGTTCTATCAAGTGTTTGGGCAGAGGGAGAAGAAAGAGGGACTAAAAAGGGGGGGAGGGGAATGAAAAGGCGTGAGGGGGCAAAGGGGAAGATGAAACACCCAACGCTCTTCTGCTCAGAGCTGTCCTTCCCGTGTGCAGAAGAACACTGGGTTATCTTCATTCCCGATGCCTCCTGTGAACTGACCACAAAGGTGCCCCAAGTGTAAGACAGGCCATCTGCAGCTGTGTGGCTCTTAGCACACCAGGACAGACAGTGGGCTTCTGTGGTCTTCAGCAGTGTCTGCTCCCTACCCCTGCCTCTGACCTCCCATCTTCCTCGTGACCCACCAAGCTTCTCTCGCAGATGGTGAGAGGTTTGATTCCAAAACTCTGACCTCAACAACAACTAGAGGAACTTGTCAGCTACACAATTTCCCAACCCAGCCCTCCCTGGACTACTACCTACGAGCAACTGAACTTCAACTTCTAGAGAAGAAGCTACATTTTCTAACTGAAGGAAGCCCAGGCTTTGGCTTGGTTCCTGCGTGCCAGGCAGTAACCACCAGCACTTCCGCCAGGGAGGCGGCACAGGTACCCAGGCAGCCATTCTGATAAAGAACGCAGGGCTTAAAAGATAAGATTTGAGGAGAGCTATTGGAAGCTAATATGGAAAACACAAAACTAAATTCTGGGAAGCTGAAGGAGGAGGAGACCGGGAGAGTTATGGGCATGAAATAAATGTTTGTGTAGACTCAAATATTCAAGCCGAGTACTATAAAGGCTGGAGAGAAAGACAACAGCACAGCTGAGTTGTCCCTCGGCCGACGAGGATTATCCACACACTGCAGGCCTCCGCATCGCCATGGGGTTTAGATTTAATGATCATCTAGTACATGGCGTGGGCCCAGGAATATACATGCACACGTTAGTCTCTGTAATAATGAGAGCTTGGAACGATGAAGGCTTGAAAATGAACAGCCATCCCGCCTACAACACACAGACACAGAAGGCAACAGCCCATCAGATGAGCAAATAATTACCTCCCCAAATCCCTCCCGCTATTTAATTTTAATTTTACTAGCTACAGAATATAACGGAACTTCACATCTGAATGAAACCACTTTAGAAGAATAGGAACATATACGTCTGTTCTGTTTTATATCACGAGGTGGGGGTGTGTGGTTAGGATGGTAGGCCAAGAACTGATTCATCAGCTTCATGCTTAAATAATGACAGCCATCAAGTCAGCTGAACAGTAAACTCCTCTGAGGCACACCTTTGACTCTTTCTCTCTTCCTTCTTGGCACATTCTTCTCATTGCGGAGCACTGTGTACAACCACAGCACTTCATAAATAATTACAGAGTAAAATGAAGTGTGTGAGACCCGAGCCTGCAGGGGCCAGTTCTTAGGCTTAATTCCAGAGGTTAACTTTAACAGGTGAAGACTGACCCAAACGCTCTCCAACTCACTGCTGGAGTAGCCTTCTCTCCCAGGCATAACAGATCATCAGGATGTGGCGTATGGCTGAGCAGTCCGAAGAGCCGAGTGTGTCAGTGGCGGAAGCCATTCTGAAAGCGTGACATGATCCCACTTATCCCCATGGTTCCTAACTCTCTAAAGTCCAAAACACATTTCAAACAATTTTTTTTAACAAAATCAATTGTTTCTTATGAAAATGGGGGGAAAATATCACTATGGGTACATAAACAAGCAACCTGAAATCATCCCAAACAGCTCTACCATGTTTCCTTGGGGTTTTCTTGGGAAGACTGGTTAAATTTCATTCTTATAAGCCAGAAATGAAGCTAATTTCATTTCTTAAGTAAAAATATCTGACACTAGGGAATGAGGCCCCAGGGTATGCTCAAGTTTCAAATCATCTAGTTAGAAAACTGGAGATTTTTTTTTTTAAAAAAAAACAGTCAAACAGACAGATAGATGATCCACTGGTGGCAGTTTCTTCTGTGGTGTGGTGAGAACAAAACAGCCCATGACAAGAGAACTCAATTAATTACGAGCATTTTCTTCAGCATCAAGTACATGCAAGGCTTACACACAGACTTTGACCTACACCTGGAGACTCAGCCTGTATGACTGGGATTGTTTAATGCTAACAGTTCCAATTTCTTGTCCCCATGAGATAAATAAAAAAAAATTAACAAGACTGAAGTTTCTATAGGCATGCCATGTTTGGTTACAAGTGCACACACACACACACACACACACACACATACACACACACACACACACATACACACACACACATACACACACACATACACACACACACATACACACACACATACACACACACATACACACACACACACACATACACACACACACACACACACACACACACACACAAGTTCTGTAATATTGTTTCTATTCCATGTGAATACAAAATGAGATTAAAAAAGAAATCAAACCTCAAACATGAAAGAAAATTGAGAGCCTGTGCAGTGTTAAAATACTGGTTAACAATAAAGTCAGAGGAGACGGAGCAAAAAGACAAACTCAACAGCGGTGACAAGAGAAAGGCCAGACCACACGGCAGGGTTCAGCTGGCAGGAATGCTGTGTGTTGGATCATCTGGTAGCATTTGTATTATCCCCTGATGGCTACAGACATTTTTATTCTTCATTAAATATACACAGTAAAATTGTTGAAACAAGAGTATATTTGCACAAGAAAAAAACATTCTTAAGTATGCATACTGGAAAGCCAAATAAAATTCTAGGGGGGAAAAAAGTACTATATAATTCTAGGGGGGAAAAAAAGTTAAGTGAGCGGTCTCTTCCCATCTCTAGGCAGCTCTCCTACGGCATAAGGCAGAGGAATGTCCGATCTACAACGCAGTGTGGTCAGGTAGATGGTGAGAGTTCTTTCAGAAAGGACGTCTAGGGTTCATTCACATGAAAGAAAGGCACAGGATACAACAGCTCTTAAGTCTGGCAGTGACAACAGAAGGACTTTAAAGTTTAGATGGTGGGACACAGGCTACCATCCCGTGTAGATCTGCCATTCCTCATGGCTACTGATCGGACAGACATTCTTTGGATCGCAGGTTACCGGTAAGATCTTTTATGGAGACATTTTTATTCGAACACTGCTATTCAAACATTTTTCGGCTGTTGCAAAGCTGCCTGTTTATTTTGATCACTCAAGTCCTCCCCGAGTACGGCTATCTGTCAAGTAACTGAGGACAAAAGCGAGCAGAGCAAAGGCTTACTTCTCCAGCAACAATGTGCACCGGCTCCATAATCTCACTTTTGAGTCAGAACTTACTCCCCTGCCCAAATTACCTTTCTTGGATTTGGCTCCGATCTTCAGTTTGGATGGCCAGGCAATCTGCGTGTTTGTCTCTTCCATGATCTGAGTCAGCAATTAAGAGAAAAAATATTGACTCAATTAAGAACTTGTATTTACAGATAAGATTTTTCACACATTAAAAAAATTATTTTCATGTGTCTTGCTTTGTATTGATATAACAAAATGATTTCAGCTTAAAGCAATGCAAACTTTAAAAAAAAAAAAGGCTTGAGGGAGAATAGGAGATGTGTTTTTCTACGCCCTTAATCTACTGAAAGTATCCAAGTCTGTGTGTTGTTCTCTCCCCGATTCCAGAGTTTTAACAGAAACAAGACCTAAAAGTACCATGGACAAGTAATTAACTCAGCTCGTTGCCAGGACCATCGGAGACGCTTGTACTGAACAAAAATCACCCAAGACCATTGTCAGTACACCAGACATGATTCTTCTAACACAAAACTATGAGTTAAGCCATATTAAATGAAGATTTCCCACCCCCCCCCCCCCAAAAAACAAAACGTCTCACTCTGGGCACATGTGTATTTCATTAAAACTAACGAAAGGCTTCTACACACGGCACCCCTTCACGAAGCTGCATTTCTCGGCATCCTTCTCGTGGGCTACGAACTACAGTTTTCCCACCCATACATGCAGATAATCCCAGCAGGAGACACGGAACCACAGGGAAAACAGCACAGAAAACGTGGGGGAAGACAGAGAGCAGGCAGCGGAAGCAGGGCAGGCAAGGACTAGCCAGGCCACCAGGGAAAGGAAGACGACACCACAGCACAAATGAAGTGGACAGCAAATCCAAAAGGAATCAGAGTCCCTCCTTCCTTCTCCTCCATTCAACAGGACTGCTCGCTTTGTAACCCAAATAGACAACACACCCGATACCAGAGCAAGCAACTTCTAGTAGCAACCACCATTCGTTACTCAAGACAGGCCGCTTTGTTTTATTTTTAATTTTTGTTTAATTTATGTTTAAGTTTTGTTTTTCGAGACAGGGTTTCTCTGTATAGTCCTGGGACTCTCTCTGTAGACCAGGCTAGCCTCAGAGATACACGCCTTCTTCTGCCTCTCTGCTCTTGCTCCCCAAGTGTTGGGATTAAAAATGTGCACTACCACCACGCCAGGCCTTATTTTCTAATATGGATTTAGATTTAACTACATAAATCAACGGTGAAGACAACTGTATGCATTAAGAACACAATGAACAGAACTATTTCCTCCTGGGGCCCGTATCCTAGATGAGACTAGATGGTTAGCACCCAGCATCCATTGCCAAGTCTCCTTCATCTGAGCATCACCAGCTCGCAGATGTCTCGGGCTGGCAGTCTAACCATCCATTGTCAGGGCTGTTAGGAGCTGGGCCAGCACTTGAAGATCCAAGAATCTGGCAGAGCGATTCAAAGCTCTGATTTTCTGGACAAGTTGGTGGAGTCAGCACAAGGAATTCATGGCAGCCCCCGGCTGGCGCAGAGAACAGTTGCCTGCTGCGGCCTGGGCCAGCGGACCCTCAGCTGCTCCAGACACCCCACTGTGGCCCTGATGCTGAGGTCAAACGTCACTTGTATGTTGCCGCTGACCAGTTTGGACTGCTCACTGGCTGCCTGGCCCCAGGTCTACACTGCTGTTTTTCTTGGAAAATATTTCTGTTTAAGAGCAACAAAACAAAAAACGAGCCCCCACTGCCTTTGCTTGGTCTACATACTGATCTGACCCAGAAGAAAAGGGACCCTCCTGCCCTCACACTCCAAGACCGCGTCCTTGCCTGCTTGTCTTTGCTGATGAACTAAGTTGTTATCATCAGCATTCATTTGGTTAGTGAACTCTATGCTGTCGTCATTTTGATTTTGTATTTTTCTGGAAAGAGTTGGCTGTTTTGTGACAGGGTCTCACCTATCCTGACCTCAAATCTGTAGTCTTCCTGTCTCAGTCTCCCAAGTGTTGTGATTACAGAGTATGGCAACCAACCTCAACTCTACAGGAATATTAAAATCTAATTGGAAAAGAGAGGGTTTCTCAGCGGTTTAGAGCCCTTGCTGTTCCTGCAGGGGACCTGGGTTCTGTTCCCAGCACCCACATGGCAGCTCAGAACCATCTGCAGCCTCTGGGGTTGCTGCACACACATGGGGCACATATAGACACATAGTGGAAAAACCATTCTTTTTGTCTTTTATTAAAGAAATCTTTTTTTTAGATTATAATTTATCATTTCCCCATTTCCTCCACACCCTCCCCTAGATCCCTCCTTGCTCTCCTTCAAACCCATGACCTTTGACCCATTGTCAGTACATACCATAGATGGATGTATTTGTTCCTAAATATAATCACAACAATTCTTTTTAAAAATAAATGAGTCAGAGCCAGGTGGTGGGGGCGCATGCCTTTAATCCCACCCACTTGGGAGGAAGAGACAGGCGGATTCTGTGAGTTCGAGGCCAGTCTGATGTACAGAGCGAGTTCCAGGACAGGTTCCAAAACTACAGGAAAACCCCGTGCCTTGGGAAAAAAAAAAAAACAAAACAAAGCAAAAAATAAAAAATAAAAAATAAAAAACAAAGCAGAAAAAAAACAAAAAATAAATGAATAAATAAAAAATACTATCATCTTCAACTGCCTCTACTCAGCCCCCCAGTAAATGTCCCCTCCCTACCTCACCACTTCAGGACCAGCCAATGGTCTCTCTTCCTAACCGTTCAAGGCCAGGCTCCCTCTCACACTTGGGCCTTCAGCTATCACCTGCTCAGCCACCATTCTCCCCGTCTTTACGTCACCCAGCGAGAATCATCCTTACTCCTTGCTCTACTGGCTTCCTTTCTTATCCTTAAGTCAAGCAAACACCCTCTTATCTTCTGCATTTACTAGATCAGTTGGGAAAACAGAGATTGTGCTCACTGCTCTGCACACAGCAAGCACCAGCTATGTCTGGGCCACGGACATTACTAACGCCCTCATCTACTTATCCACCGGGAGTCGGGTACCACCTCAGCCCATTTCTAGCTGGGTCAGGCAGAGCAAATTATGTCATTGTTCTCTCTCTCTCTCGTTTTCCATCCCTGTAAAGTTATTTGTAATATCTACTGCTGGGGTAGTCACAAGGACTCGAGGAGACAGATGCAATGCTGACCCAAGACATGCCGACTGATGCTGAGAGCTAGCAGCAAACAAACTGGCTAGCTGAGAGAGGGTGCAGAAACAGTCCCTCACATAGGAAGAGCGCATAAGGGAATGCCAAAATGACACACAGGGAAGAGCATCAGTACAGACGAGAGGCTTTGTGTCTAAGCTTGTGCCACCAGGAAGGAGACAGATCTCCTGCCATCTGCATATACAGATAAGAGCCCCAAATAGACACAGACCGAGACCATTGAGGCTCCTGTGACCGGCTGTCTCTTGCTACAGATAAGTGACAACCAGTAAGAAGCTAAGCAGGACGGAGCAACTCATTCCACCTCTGGGGAGCCAGAAGCTTCCCTGAAATGCTTATCACTTAAGCGGATAACTCAAACCAGTCTCTTCAGCAATGGTAGGGCATACATACTCTAAAGGTATATCTCAGCAGAGTCAGAAGCAGAGAAGCCAGAGACAAGAAGGGTGAAGAGGGTTCAGAAAGCCCAGTCCTGAAGCAGGATTTGCAGAAGTGGAACCCGGATGGGGCTGACACCAGCACACGAAGCAGCTCAAAGGACATGCAAGCTATGCAAAACGGTGTCCTAAGAACCAAATGGGGACTGGAAATGATGAAGCCAGGAAGATGATGGAGATGAAAGACAGTATGAAGACCCCCGGGGGAAAAGACGACCATCTCAGTCTCAGGAGGAAGAGGAAATTATCTGAAGTGACTTCCAGAAAAACGACTCTAGGTTTTGCTTTGGTTTTGGATTTTGTGACTTTTACTGTGCCTGTTTCTATGCCACACAAGCAAAGAGCTAAGAACAAACCGCTGGCTCCAACTCACCTTCTAGAAACATCAAATAAGCATTTTTTTTTAAATTACGGTAATAGGAGAAAAACTGTGGCTTTACAGTGGGCGGAGACACTGATTCTCTTCAAGAGAGTCTCGTGTGTTTCCCAAAATCATTTAGTTATTACAAACTTGACCAGGAAGTCACTTCCAAGAACCCTGCTGTGAGCCTTAGTTCGCATGTAAGTCAATACTCGGTCCGAAACGTTCAGTTTCCATCCAAGGACTAATTGAATTAAGTGGCTAATTCTGACCATCTCTCTCCCATAAGGAGGCTGGTGTCATCTGCCGTGTAAAAACTGACCTCAGAGTTGGGAAACAGCCTAAAATGTCTCCTGCTTCCTTATGGAAATAAAACTGTAACTACCATTGTGTCAGCTAAGCTACAGAATGCAGAGGTATGCCAAGCCACAGAACCTTGGAGGAAGGGGAAAAAAAAGACACAAGATCAAAAAACAAATAAATCTGAAAGTGAGTTCAAGGTAGATTGTGAGTGTGAGTGTGTGTGTGTGTGTGTGTGTGTGTGTCCATGCATGCATGTACATGGAGGCCAGAGGTCATTATCATACGTCATCTTCCATCAGTATCCACCTTTTATTTTTCATTTACATAATTAACATATATTGCGTGCACAGGGGTTGGAGGATGGTACACCCTTCACGGTGAGGGTCCAGAGGTCGGATGACAACTTTCAGGAGTTGGTTCTCTCCTTCCATCAAGTGCATCCTGGGATTAAACTCAGATCATTAGACTTGGTGGCAAGCGCCTCCTGTGCACACAATGTATGTAAATTAAAAGATCACAGTCTTCAAAGACTCATTCTACCTTAGTTCGGCTCCCTTACCACATGTAGAAATCTATGTTCTGACAACAGAAGAGATTTGGAAAAGTCCATCTCAAACAGTCATGCTCAACCTGCCTCTGCTGGGCCCCATGCATGACAGGACGGCTGGAGATGAGGCCAGACACATCCACAGGTGGTGGGTGTCCCCTGCTGTGTCAAAAGACCGACACGGAATTGCAACATAACCATCTGAATAAAAAACCATTAAGATTCTGTTAAGTGCCCATCACTTATAGAATATGAATCAGT